TGTCGCTACCTCTGTTTAAACGCTTTAGATTTCTCTCTTCTGGGCTTCCCACCTCCCTCTCGTTTGGTCTCTTGCTTCCTCGTTCACGTCGCTCGAAAGTTTCATCGGAAACATGAATACAGTAATGATACGCGATGTTTATCGTGAATAGATCAATAAACCAGCAAACTCGATTGTTAAACCAAGATTACATTTATCGGTTAGTTATTGTGTTAATGTTTGTGGCAGATTATGTGCTTTCGGAACTCATTTATGCCCTTTTCTACAAATAGTAGATTTAAACTTTAATCTTTGTTTAACTTACTTTTTATTTTTATCTTTTCTAGTTCTAAGAATTAGAAAAGGCTAATGATTAAATTAAATCGAGATTAAAGTTAATCTACATTGGTAGAAATGGATACTATTAGTCGATCAATATTCCTTTACTACACAGAAAAAAAAGATTAGCTGCCACAGCTAAAAATTAGATAATTCAGGCAGCTAAATTCAGTAATATTATATGGACGATCAATCGTATCTGCGAGATCTAATTTTCATTAGCTGTGAGGCTTAAATATTATCATTGTAACAGACAAGCATTTCGCTATTATGTCGATGTATTGATCATTACAGCAAACGTTTTTCTGCGTAGCAGACAATTTGGTAGCAAGTAGAGTTTCAGCAAACTATATTTAGCTGTGATAGAGACAATTTTCTTTTACACGGACATATCCGATAACTAGGATAACTTCATGTTGCTAAATAAACTGACTATACAGACATACATATAATATTTTGCTATCACGTCCTTATATTAAATACAGCAGCAAATCCCTTGTATACATTAACAAACTTCATAGCTATAGTAGCTAATTTCAGAATTAGCTGACCAGAAACTTTTTTTCCGTACAATGATTAAATTTAAATCCCAAACTTCAGAATCTTAAATTCTTTTAAGTAAAGGATGTACCCTTAACTTCAGGATGTATCCTGACTCGAAAGACAATAATTTTTAGTGAAAGGAAGCTTTTCTTTGCGTTACAAATGAAGATTTAATGAGGCAATGTAGTGCTCGAAATACATTCCTGATTTCCTATGTTCTAATGTGAATACGATCGCGCGTATTACATCAATGGATTATGTTAATGATAGTTAGCAAACTGAGGCCGGGATGATTAATTGCGTGAGCCAAGTGGGACGCGGTCCGATTGTAACTGAGTAACTATCGATTAACTCGAGCGCATCTTGGCACTTTATCGATGCGGGCATCACTGGCAGCGAGTTCACTCGATTAATTGTTTCACTCGCAGTTCGGCAACTTATCGCCACCGATTTTCGCGGTGTTCACCACGATGCCAAAAAAGATCAACGATATTGGCGTTACGTTGACAAATTCTTTGTTCTTGTTTATCTGGGTCACAAAAGTATTCAAGATGACGTTAAAAAATGGTGAGAACGTTACGTTTATTAGATTATACAAGCAAATATTGTACATGTTTTCAGACGGTATTCTTAGAAAGATTTAACTTTTCTTCTTTTTGATTGATTGAGAGATCGATTATGACGCGCGGAACAATTTTTCTTTATTTTAAAAATAAAAAGCACTAAAGATACGATTCACATTCGTTGGTTATTTTATGAACTAAATCTCTATTGGAAAACGGTTATCCTTCGCGAAGTTAAGTTCAGGTAAGAATACGAGAAGTCGCGTTCCCTAAAAATCGATTGTCGTAGAACAGCGTAGAATATTTATTTACGCATATTACCGTTTTATAGAATATATTTTATTGATAATATAATTTCTCGTAGTAATATTGTATTTTATTTCGTTGAATTTGTTTTTTATCCTACATTGTCATTAAGTAAAACTTATTTGTCGGATCGACAAAATGCACATTTTTCATATTAAAATTAAAATAAATTTAAGTATAATTTATAACTGAAACTTAATGCAATAGAATATCGTTATTTAGTTCATCCCATGATATAGAATATAGATTATGCACAAATGCACTAAATGAAATCTTCGTAACATATTTATATAACGTATGCATATAACATTATCAGACATTATAAAATATATAACAAAATATACATAATGTGATAGGCGAATTTACCTCATCGAAATCATGTGACCTTTCATTCGCTGACAAACCGGTTTCCATGTTTTATCGACCTGAATACAGTCGATAGGGCTGTCCCAATTAGTTATTTCACCGAGTTTGTTGGTTTACCACGGTTAATTTCAAACAAGGATTATACGTATCCAGGCTTACAACATCGAGGCAAAGTATCGAGATCAGCATTCAGTATCGAAATCAGAAAACATACAGGTTGTAATATAAAAGTATAAACAACTTTTTATTCACTTAAGTTTTTATCGGACTGTCTATAATATTAAAGAATCATAGAAAAATAAAAATTTACGATGAATTTTGTTTATTATATTTTAAATCTTGCTGGAAAAAATATGTTTAGTAAATCTAGTCTTTTTGTTTTGAAAGAATTCTAAAACGATCGATTTAATCATTTCAGTTAGATGAGCGAAGGAGGGGTGTAACTACCGAAAATGTTCGACGCGGCGAATAGACCACCGTTTCCGCGCCTAACTAAATTCCGAGCATTCCTTCCGCGGCATCAAGCGTTTCTAAAACGGCGCCGAACTGCTATTAGAAGCGTTCTCGCAGGAACTTCCTAACGATACTTCCACCGCCATTGCCGCGATGTCGTCGCTCTCGCATGCCCGCGATCGCTCGCGAAACTTGTGCCTCGTTAGATTTACTCGCTGGTCGGTATTAACACCGCGACGAGTGCGAGGTGCGAGACTGGAAACGAAATGGATGTCGCTCTTGATTCGAACGAATGGCAGAAAGTTCGTAATTGAAGCATACGCCGCACTGTTGGAAAAACTTTCGTTGGAATCAGTTAATTTATGCAATAACGTCGGTAGTCAGTAACTCTGTCAGTAAATCGATACGTGAAAAGAATAGTTTTGTTGGAGTATCTAAAATTTAGTTAGGTATAGATCCGAAAATAAGTTTATTAGATTGTATAGGACATTCAAATTCTGGTTGCTAGAATATTAAAACTTTTCACAGCATCATCATGCTCATTATGTTTGAGTTTCTTATTATATAATGATTTTGATGGTTCAATAAAGTTATTTTCACATCTGTATCTTACCTAAATTTTTAAATACTTTAGCAAAATCGTTTTTTCTGCACGGAAAACGATTTACTCAAGTGTCCAAAAATTTAGGTAAGATGCAGATGTGAAAATAACTTTATTGAATCATATAAAATTAAATTTTATTGAACTGTCAAAATAATTATGTAGAATATTCGAGCAGGATGCTAGAATGTTAAAAACTTTACAGCATATTTATGCTTAAATTTCTATATAATTATTTTGATAATTTAATAAAAATACAAAGTGTCTTATAAGAACATATATGGCTACACAACGAATAGGAAATAAAGGTCTTAAATAGTCAATTCTGGATCTTTAGTACTGAAATAATTCTGTGTGAATCTATATACTACATCCAATTCCTCAAATTGCGCGCCAAATTTATTTTCAGTCTTGAAACGTGATTCTAATGCCATTCTAGAATAAGCTATTAGTAAGTCAGAAGTCAGAAGTTAAATATTGACCAATCACTGTCAGATGTAAGAAGAATAATTGATTCTTATTGGTCAATTTCTGGTTTCTGACTTCTGATTTATTACTAATGGCTTGTAGTAGAATGTGTGTCACAAAATTAGAATAGCAATATCACTAATTAAGTTGACACGCAATTATATTGTTGTAGGTATCTTCACCTAAAAAAACATTTCTTTAAATCGAAGAAACCATTCTCTGGAATTGATCTTGATATTCTGATGCTGATAAGCATCAACCTAAAATCTGTAAATAATTTAATTGCGAAAAATATTATTTCAGTCGGAGTAACTTAACAAAATTAGTTTCAAATCTGTATCTGTATGTACCTAAATTTTTAGATATTTTAGCGAAACTTCTTTTCATAAGTATAATATGAAAACAGCATTGTTAAATAATCTCAAAAAAAAAAAAAAGAAACAAAGTTTTCAATCATATTTACAAGTGTAGAGAAAAAAGAAAGGTAGGTCCAAACAAGACAACGTCAATCAAGCACAAATTCAATAATTCGAGTATATTTATGTTTCAAGAGTTACAAATAGATAGTCTTATTTGAGCAATGTCGACAGGCCAATTAGCCCTTTTGTACTTTGATCGCGATCTTCAGGTCGATCACCTTTCTCATACATGATCAGCGTACTTATTTATAACCCACATCACCTTTCTATTGCATCTATCCTTGTATTCTATTATCTACAAATATCAATTCTGTCATCTATACAAGGTACCATAAATAAATGATTTAATGAAAGTTTGCATTGCTGGAAAACGAGGAAAGCATCCATTTTTTCATGAAAAGAATGGTTTTGCTGAAATATTTAAAATTTAGACATATAAATATAGATTTGAAAATAATTTTGTTGGATCGTCAAAATAATTATGTGAATTGATCGGTAATTTAATAAAAAAAAAAAATCTTATATAATTATAGCGAAAAATTATAGATACAAAAAATTAGCTAAAATGAATAAGTGTCTAGCAAGCAATGTAACATTGAATATGTATCTAATAAATCAATCAAAGATGACAGAGACAGAATTTAGATTTTAACCATTCGTCAAATTTATCAAGAAAGTCTCTCTGTAACGGCGTTATCAGATTGTGACTATGTGATTCATATTTAGCAATGATTCATATTTGATTATGAGACCTAAATTGTCTCGCATACATTGTTAGAATTTTCTGCTAAAAATTCTACGAATATAATACATAATTATTCATAAACACAAAAAACAGCTATAATTCTAGCAGAAGCGGAAAAATATTTTTTTGCGTGATAGAAATTATACGGTTGAATTGATGATCAATCCGTATTATATCGATCTGCAAGTTAAAGAAAAAAAGTTTAGTGCAGTATATACCTGACTCTTCATGGGATCCGTATTGATTTGACACATATAAAGGCCGCCGTCCTCTTTCTGGACACCCTTGATGTGTAGATTCCATATAGAGTGGTCGCTATGGGACACGGACACCCTCTGGTTGTGCGTGATCACGTGGTCATGTATAGCTTGGATCGCCTTCGTGTCCGCCTTTACCCAACCGACCTGGAACATCAATCGCCAGATCGGAGCCTTAATAGGCGAGGGAGACGGAGAACGGAGGGGCAGACAGAGTCGGTGCCGGAAATCGCGGTGACGGCGTCGCGGATTTCGCCGAAGACGCCGCAATTTCCTCACAGGCATCCCCGACTGCGGAATACAAACAGATGCGGGGGATGCCTGTCCCGAGGTGTGCGTGCATGCACACATACGTATGCACACACACTCATACACACACACATACACAGAGGCGCGCGCGCAGAGATTGACACGCGTGATTCTCCTTGGCCAAACTTCCAGGCGGTATTTGCATTTTCCTTGGAATATTCCGAACCGAGCGAGAGGTACTCCCGCGATTTCACGCGACGAGCAGACGAGCGCATTGCACGCATATACGCTTTTACAGCTACAATTACGCTACATACACGCCCATTTCAATTGGTAATAAAAGAAGCGAAATGTAAAGGTAGCCCGACCGCATCGCGGCTTTGTTATTATTCTCGTGCATGAACGCATGATATTGCACGATTGCGAGGATATCGTTGCACATTCATTGTCCATGAGAAGGACTGATGACAGTTGTATTTTCGAAATGAGAGAAAAAAGATTTACCTTTCTCTTTCATGAGAAATTTGTCGATTCTAATTACAATTATCAAAGATTGCTCGGCAGATATTTCAATTGCTTGATATAGAATCGTTTAAAGAAGCATCGATAAAATGGGTCACTTGCGAGTCAATCATTCTCTTCGAATTTGACTTTCAGATTCTCTTAGAAAGTGAATTATAAATGGAAAGACTTCGACGCTATACTCGTCAGATTTCTAGCACACATCGCGATTGTGTATTTCGTATAAATTTAATTATTACGATTCCCCGTTTTCAAATACATTTTAATTTGACCGGCACGAGGCGTTGACGTTTATTTACACGTAATCGATGTCCGCATTGTTTCGCGCGATTAAATTAACGGTAATAATAATTGCGCAATCTGTGTCACGCAATGAAGATCGAAACGGAAATACGGTCGAATGAATTCGAGAATGGAATATATATTACACATTCAGTTATGTTGATATTTTGCTTCTACTTCACTGAATTGCCGGCAGAAATTCGGGTCAATGTGAAACGTAATCGTGTATTCCATTCTACAATTTCATCGGACGTCAGATATGGATAGCGAGAGCTAGTCTACACATCTGAACGTATCTGACCGACTACGAACAAATAGTACTTCGACTAGAAGCAACTGGTTATACTGTAATGTAGTTGCTGGTTATACTGATTCTCACTGTAGCGTAATGCAATTTGCAAAAGCGCAAAGAGAAATGATAATGCGTGGAAAAGATAATCCCACTATATGGCTATGCATATAAAATTATTATTATTAATTCCATACCATCATAAAAATGAGAATTTGTGGTAGAATTTAAGAGCGTTATGCTAGCCAAGTTATTTCACTGTGAATCATGCTAGCAATCGATTCGTAATATAAAATTAGTTTTGCGAAAAATTTCGTTAATGCGTTGAAAGAAACCATCGGGCCGCTCGAATCACCTTATAGACACGTGTATCGATAAAAGTTCTTTGTAGTCGGTTTGAAAGAAGAAAAGTGAGTGGAAAAATTCCTCTCGACTTCTTTCCGCTTTTAAATAAGAATTTTGCGGATATCAAGATCGACTTTCGTGAAAATCGTACAGATTTAAAGCGTTAAATGTCTTTTCATGTACTTGTCGAAGATTCTTTTCTCATTATAGATTTGCTCTCTATTTTATAGAAAATAAAAATTAATTTCCGGACTAGAAATGTGTCAATTCTTTTTAGGGTATTATGATGCAAGTGAATATATAGATAATATTAATATATCACGATTTAAGATTGCACGCACATTGGAAGAAATGTTGAGAATAAATATTAAATATTAGAGAAATAAAAGAAATTAGGAACAGAGATTAAGATGGTTTTTTAGTAAAGTGAAAATTTGGGGTGTCTCATCAGGGCCCATTTAAAATTACAAACATGCACACAATTTGGATAATAACAAAGAATATAAATATCGTTCAAAGTTTGCACAGCAAAACAATTTAATTATAAAAACGATCAAATAAACGAGCAGCCAATAGTGTTTGATAGCAAGTGTTTAATATTAATGTAACATATCAAATAATTTATAGACATTTTGACTCACAAAGTCTTCTTTAATATAAATTAAATCTAGAATAAGCTGATTTAATTTATCAAGTAAATCAAGAGCATCTTCGTCGAACGAAAACAAGATTATGTTTACTATTCGAGATTAAATTTATATGCAAGTTTATGCATGTAAATCTCTCTAGAATGCCGTTGACTTATTACTTCTTTGTGACCATTAATTTCATAATTTTTTAAATGATTATAATTTCATTTTTGAAAAATGTCTATGATAAGATTTGTGTGCAGTTAGTCAAAAAAGCGTCTGCGAGCATTAAATTATATACGTCAATTTCGGTACTTCAACTTTATTATATGCAAAAATTATAATTAACATTTCTATGATAATTCAATTTACTTAAAAAACCACCTTAAGTGAAACGTACAATTAATACGAATGCAAATAAGACATTATATCTTATTTATGTTTGTTATACGATACGTTTAATCTTTTTAATTTTTTTATTTTTCTAATATTTAAATTTATTCCTGTTCCTAATATTTTTTCCACTGCATCCAGGACCCAACGATGCGATTAAGCTACCCTTTTATTTCGCTTTATATCGAGGTTTCTGCTAGATTTTCGTGGTTATCGGACCATGTCAACATTATAACGCAGCACACCTCGAATAAATATTCGTGTGTACCGCAAAAGTTTAACCTGGGGGGTAGATATGACTTTTTAAAGGCCGCATCTCCTTTCAGAAGTTAAGTGAGACTCCGAGAAGTTAAGCGAGCGTTACGACATCACAGACACGCTGTCGCTTTTCATGCAACGTACCCTGTAACCTCCTAGATGTTTCACCAGACACGTGAAAGTGGCGTCCCTCCCAAGTGGCACTGTTAGATTGGTGATAGGGCCAGAGAATTCGGGCTGAAAAGCGCCGCCTGAAACGATAAAATACGTACGACGTTCGTGAAAAATACATACGCCATTTGCATACCGCGCACCGCCGGCAATTTTTCGACAGCGACGTCAATTCGCCGTCGTGCAGAATGCACTTTATGCGAAAACGAATAAACGTCAGAAGGCTGAATGCTACGCGACTCGGCTAAACGCGGAGATGCGTCTCGCAACTGCAAATTAAACGCGCAGAACGTGACGTCGAATTAGCGAGAATCACTGTCGTACGTGCACCACTTAAGCAAACTTCCATATTCACGAGCAACATTGATCGACGCTGGTTATCTTGTCCATATCTGCCTGCTCTATTCGATGATTATTATATAAATTTACGAAAGTTTAAAAAAAACATATTGCACATAATTATCTTTCCATACTAATGCATATTTTTTATTGAAAACAACACTCTTCATGCAATTACTAAATATAGGTGTTTCTGTAATACATTATTGAAATAAAAATAATTTTTGCAAATTCTATTGTGTTTAAACTAGGTTGACGAGAATAATATAATTTTATATTACAATATATTATCATTCTCTTTACCTCTTAATTCATAATGTACTTTTATTTTAAAAGTTTATTTTAAAATATGAAAAAAATAATATAAAATATAATTTTATATTACATAATTTTATATCATTTTTATGTAATTGTTTAAGTATATACTTTACGAATTAAAAGACTTAAAGAGGGCGAGTTTGATTTTGATAGGATCAATTTAAATGAATTTATTTCGTAACAATGTAATTGGTGTGGTGGAACGTACATATCTCCATTATCCATTATCTTGCTAATGTGAAATTATGCGTGCAGCACACGCAGCTGCCATAAATATTGCATCATGCATGATTATAGCTAACGTGATGTTCTATACGTACAGAACACATCCCCATTTACTTTCTCATATTTTTCACATATTCTCAGATTATTTCGCAGCTGCGTTATGAATAATAGCGCTACAGGGACGATAGCGTTCAATATGACACGGCTGACGGCGTAAAATAAGATGAAACGTATAAATTGCTTCGCCAACAAAATGGATGCCGAGGGTGCAGAATGCGCGAACAATGGGCGAAGATGTAATCATTCCATACAAAAAGTTTACCCGTCAAATTTCCTTTTTCCTGGGATAATATATGCGCACGCGGATTTTAAACGGTTTCGCGTAAATTTGAACGTAACGTCAAAAAATTTTTACGTCTCGTCAATAAACTAAATGGCCGCTTGACGACTCGCGCCGAGCGAATTGAATTAATCTTGTAATCGGCAGCCGAGTATCGCGTCGAGATGGTTATCCGATAGTTTACAGAATGATGACGTAAATGTTGATTGAATCGATCAGCGTGGGGAGAGGCAAAACGACGCGGGGAGGCATGCACTCTCTCTCGAATGCATTTTCTCGCGCAAATAGATTCCACAGAGAGCAAATAAGAAGAACTGACTTTACAATACTGTTGTTTTTATATTTCAAGATCCTCGCGTAACAGGCTGTTTTGGTATTTGAACTCTGTGTGTCTAGAATCATATATATAGAAAATGTACCGTATCAAATGGGCTTCCAACGAGATGCACGCGCGCCCGATAACATTTTCGTGTGAATTTTTGCTAAAAGTATCCAACAGCAGTATCCAACAACGGGGTAAACAGGACAATGATACTTCTGCAGAAATTTCTGTCCCAGTTGCTGCATAAGCTACTTGATTTAGAGTTTTTTTTATTCTACAATTCTCTCTACCGCGAGGCTTGTCCGGATAGCTTGACGTCATGGAAATGTGACATTTCCTATTAATTGATTAAATTTTATAAGAAATACTCGATATATACTTGTCACGTTATAAGACAGTTATTTATCTATTATTGTAATTTATTTATAAAACTAAAATTTCTCTATATTTAAATTGTTCCTTATTTTAAAGAAATATGCAGGTCGGTTCTCCTTCCTTTCTAGCCAGTATCGATCGTCGCATCTTCGCTGATAAAAACAAAACGTTGTGGCAACGTGGCATATTATTATTAGTTAAACAGTGAGGAAATTTATGAAGACATTCCCTGTTAATTGATTAAATTATAAGAAATACTCGATATATACTCGTCATAATAGATATTATCATAAGATAGTTATCTATATATTATTGCAGTTTATTAAAACTAAAAAAAAAATTTCTCTATTAATTAGGAGTGTAATTTAGTTTTGAGGGTATTGCAAGAGATAGCACTAATGTCAGTATTGTCGAAAACATTTTCATTACAGCTATTATTTCTTAATGCTTCAATATTACTCCATGATATTTATTTTTCGTTTATTAACAATGAACGCAGTAAACATCGTGTTTATACTATTTTAAAAATGGAGCTTCCTAAAGAACATTTTCGACATGCATTACTTTTTTAATCAGAACAAAATGGCAAAACTGAAGATCATAGTATTCTGAAATTTATGATGATGATCAATTAAGACATGTGAATATTGGTTCTGTCGATTCAAATGTGGTGATTTTAATATAACGGCAAAAGCTGGAAAATACAGATTTGCAAGCATTATTGGACGAAAATTCAGCACAATCCACTTCAGAACTTTGTCAGAGAACAAATGTTAATCGTACAACAGTTATTAAATGCGTTTACATACATTGTTTAAATAAATCAGTTTCTGAAAAAAAAACTCTTAAAACTAAATCACACTCCTAATAAATTGTTCTTTATTTTAAAGAAATATGCAAATCGATTCTCCTTCCTAGCTAGTATCGATCGTCGTATCTTTGCTGATAAAAACAAACGTGGCGACGTGGCATATTATTATTAGTTAAACGGTGAGGAAATTTACGATATTGAGTTACGGTAATTAACTTATATCGTTCTCTTTTATTATGCCTTTCTTCGTTCAACAGACAAAATCGCGTATAGTTATACAACGGTTTTACATAAATAGAAGGAACTTTTCAGAATTAGATCTTTAAAAATGAGTATTTTAAAAATATCGTTTGTCCAAGTTGCTCTATTTATATGGATAGCTCTATGAAATTAATTAGAATGCGACAAACGTATGAACTGAAATAATTTCGTTGTAATTTGAGCTATTAATTTTCGATTATCCGATTTCTCATTACTCTCTCTATATAACGATACGTTTGAATGAAGCTTGTAATTGTAATGAAAGATCTTTAATTACATTGACATCCAAAACCTATTAAAAAGTGATATATCGAAAATGTGACTACGCAAAATAAACGAAAATACAGTTTGACGTGAAATAATTTTGATTAATAATTATCTTCTGAAGTAAATTGACTTTTGTAATGCTTTTTGATCTAAATGTGACAACTTTGTTTATCAATGCAATTAAAACGTTAAATGTGATTGTAAATGAATTATAGAACGGAGTAGTTGTGAAAAATTGTGTGTCGTGAATTTGCAAGAAAAACAGACCCGAGAAAGTTGCACGAATGGGAAAATTCTACAAAGAGAATCTGTCGAGGTAATAAAGCAGCTAACAGAGATTTTAAGAAAAGAAAACAAGTTGATAAATTTATCTTACAACAGGAATAATTGGATCAACAAGTATTAATAAGAAAGATTGTAACGATCGCACATAATATAACCGTTTAATATTGCCGGCTATGCTTGATAGGAGCAGCACTATGTTAAAGGTTAAAATATAATTCCAGAATACATAAACCGGGTCGTAGTCATTTGTTTCGTAAAAGTAATGTTCGCAATTAAAGCTTCACATAGTGAAACGCACACAGTTTTAATTATATTCAAGAAAAGAAATTTTCTTGGAAAACATTGTAATGGAGAATATTGCATTTAAATTTCATTATGAATTTAAGTATTACGCCAAGCGCGGCGCATGATAAATAATTAAGAGGATAAGAAAATTACAAGTCTACAAAATCATGTAAACCAGACACTCACAGAGAGAGAGAGAGAGAGAGAGAGAGAGAGAGAGAGAGAGAGACAAAATTTAAAAGTATTAAAAAGTCAGATACATATTTTTTTTTTTTTTTATTATATTTTATGTGCGTTAATGTTTCTTTGGACTTTTAATTAATCGAGCGTAGACCGTAAGTTGCTTTAAAGTATTATCAGAAAAGCTAGAAAATTGTCAATAACTTATCCGCATTTTATTAATATTAAAAAGTTCCACTGGCATAAATTACTTACCGCGCGTCGTACTCGTCAACATTGCAACGGAAAGTACACGAGGAGCTACGGTTTTCCATCCGGAAAACTTTGTTGAAAATTGCGAGTAGCTTATTATCGAACTTCCGAGAAAATAAGTTGTTATGGATATTAAATATCGTAACATTCTTCGCTGCGCAGGTATGTAGCCCGTAGTCGAATTAGTAGCTTTCGCTTTTCGACATACGATCCTTCGCCCGTAACAAGCAGTCTTATTAATCTGAGCACCGTAAACCCTCTGTCGCTATTTCGAGATAATTCGGGTAATTTTCGCGCTGGGGCTTCCCATTCTTCGAGGATCGTTTTTCGCGTTAATACCGTTACAGTGATAGCTCACTCCGGAAAATCGCAAATCTTTCATTCATTTTTACTCTCTCCCGGAAATTAAATTTCCATTTTTATATTAGTACGGAGATACTTAATTAAATTATTTTAATTTGTCAAAACATTATTATATTAATTTTCCCAGAAAAGAGTTGAAGTATTTTTCTTTGTCAATAAATAAATATTTATTAGTTAAATAACATAATGGCAAACATTTTTAACATGTGCAACATGTTTGCTATGAAACGCATTCGTGAGTGGAGATGCAGGTCGAGTGCTGGAAAATAAACTGATGGGAGAGAAGGAAAAATAAACTATCGATTACCGCGGTGATTTGAGCAATTTATCTCATAAATAGCATCGCGCCGCACAATTATTTACTCCCTATTAGTCAAGCGTTATTTGACAATAATTTTGCGCATCATTTCATGGATGTCCACATCGAACGAGCATACATTTGATGAAATTCACACAA